TTACCAATAACATGAATCAAATGTATTACGTTATATGTTGGTTACAATATGTTGATATGTGAGAATATACCAATATTCAAATAGGATGTATCAGATCAACAACATCCATGGATTCATACAGAACTTCTTCCACTAACTGCAAACCATCTGAAAAGAACAGCATTGAATTTAATGCAGAACTGTGAAAGCCATTTCTCTCCCTATTGGTCTAGGGCTCAGTTGTACATAAGTCATATTTGTGAAACCAAAACTTAGCTGTACCTTTAATAACCGGATTTGGGAAACCTTATATTTCATTTCCAATTGGGGAAGTGTTTGATCTGTATATTTGCTTCTGAAGACGCCATGGTAAATCTCTGACATGTTCTTCTATTGCCTAGATTCCATAACTAATTTCCAATGACCAGACAAACACAGTATTTGTGTTCTTCAAACGGAGGATCTTCAAACATCTCCCGGTGCGTGTTTGGCCAGACCCAATCACCTGTTGTGTTGTGGGCTTCTACTCAGCGTTAACGGCGTCAAGAACACTGCATACCTCACCTGGATTTACCTGTACAAGCAAGTTATAAGCACAGATATACGCTATTTCTGACACAAGGTAGCACCTTGTCCACCTTGCTGTTTCAGGTCACTGTAACCCTGCTAATTACACAGCCTACGTATTTGAATACTATATTCCCCGAAGTCCATACAGCTATGTTATCTCAGCCGATCATGCCGCGTCAGCACTTGTGTATAATGGCAGTGTTGCATGCCCTGGCAATACTTCCTGAGTGGGTAATGGTACTTATTAAAACATAAATGTCAGAGGAAATATTATGGGCACAGAAAAGAGAAACACGTTTTAAAACAAAGCTTAACAGCTGCTTGTACCCTGGCAGGGTATGGGTGAATCTTGCTCAAGTGAAATATTTTGCTATCCCAAAGAAGGTGTAATTCCCTTTCCCTTTCTTTGTTGTTTAATGCCACACTCAGCAACATTCCAGCTGTATGACGGCGGTCTGTAAACAATCGAGTCTGGACCAGACATTCCAGTGATTGACATCATGAACACTGATCAACGCAATTTGGATACAATGACATCTATCAACCAATTCAGCGAGCCTGACTACCCAATCCCGTTAGTCGCCTTTAACAACAAGCATAGGTGCCTTTTACGGAAAGAATGGGTTACTTCAGACCTATTCTGACCCGGATCTACAAGGGCCAGGTGTAATTCAGTAATAAACACCCTTATTCATTTCTACATGCCACTGATGAAGATGGCACTGTTTTGTGTGCCCATTTCCTCAAACATGAATATGTTGATGCTGTGACATGTCATCCCAACCGTCATTGTAACACATGGGTCAACTGCTGCAACAACTGGCATTGTGACATGTCATCCCAACCGTCATTGTAACACATGGGTCAACTGCTGCAACAACTGGCATTGCAGCTTTTCTCACAGACTAGTTCCTGTCTGGACTTGAGCTGCATCACCTTTATAGAGCTACAAATGTGGCACATGAAGGTTTTCTTACATGCTCCTCAATGTATTTGCTTATGTGTTAAGAGACATGATTTTCAGAATTATGAGTCACAAACATGTTCTTATTGCCACTGTATATTCTTCCTTAATTCCTTGGGAATGTTCTTTTGTTAATGACCTTTCTATCCACACAGGCCAGGTAATAAGTGCACAAGTTTGGAATGTTTTTCCCATATAAACCTCAGAATAGATCAATCTGATTCGACATCATTAAAGCAAAATTTGGAGTGAGGCTTTAAAAATGATTCATAAATTGAACATGATCAAAGTGCAGAGCTTGATGCAGCTTTAGCAGGAAATGTCCAGTACAAAGGGCCAAACTTTGTGTCCAATTGTATCATAGAGCAAATTATCATCTGCCCAACCTAATGACCAGCATCGTGTGTTGACACACCATATTAGCCAGTGTCAGACAAACCAGCGAACGTGTGCCAGGTCACACCAAGCAGATTACTGATGAAGATGCACATTGAACAGGGTTAGTGCACCTCTTGACATGTGATAAATCCCTTAAACACCATATCAGCAGGTGCCTGCCTCTCTGCACCATCCACACAGCCTTTGTCCCATGTAGTCAGGATGTAGTACAATGTTCACAGGAACATGACTACTGTATAACAACTGGGAATCTTCATCTTACATGGACATGGGATAGGATAGTGGACAGTTGTTGTACATTGTGTAACAGGTGGCAAGTAGATATCTTGTCACATCTACCCACACACCAACACATGGTTATGGTGTCACCTGGAAATAGGTCAAGTGCTTTTTTCTATTTGAATATTTTATATACTACTCAAATATGTTAAAGAACACCTGATTCTTCATATTACTATAGTCAATCTATCATGCCATATTAACTATAGCACTGTATAGTAATATGAAAGAATTGGGTGTCCATTAACTGTATACTCCCCCAGAGCAGAGAATTCAAATTGAATGATCTCTAAATCTTGACCAAGGTATTAAACTAACATGTCATGTGCCTTTAGAATGCATGTGTGGGATTGGTACTACATAATAGGACCATGATGGGATTCTAACATTATTTTTAATTTCTTTAAGTCATAAGACTGAGTAGGCTGGAAGCAAAATCAAGAAACAAGACGACGGCTGGCCTCTATGGCTCTTGCTCAGGTCATGTTCGAAGCGCCACACAGCTCCTGACTAATACATATCATTTGCCTTTTGTGACATTTTACCAGCATATTAAAAAGTGATCCTGCTACAGAGTTCATTGCCTGTTTTCTGTCTGGGTCTAGGAAGTTGTAGTTTGTGCTGGATGTGGAACTGAGACATTTTCTAAGGTAACCATAAACTGGCAGATCGATATACATCATAAAACCTGAGTTGCCGGACACATAACATGGTGTTTGAAGAACTTGAATAAAACTGGCTCAGACTCCCAATTGGCCAGAGTCTGGCCCCTCTCTATGAGCAACAAAATGTGTGGTTATTAATACAAAGTAACCTAGCAACCATTCACAAAAACATATATAAAAAACAATCATAGTAAACTCAGGAACCAGTATCTATAAACATGTTTCAAGCGAGACTCTCAGGAGACATGAGACAACTGTACACAAAGTTATGTCACAAACAGGAATATTTAAGATCTATCTCAGTGACTGTGAGGCATATTAACTAGAACGCTGGTGATTGCCGCAGTCATTGATTCACTGGTCCTCGTATTCTATAATCTCAAAATACATCCTGAAGTGATTCAGCACTCCTTGAACTGTTACTTCTTATCACACCCTCCAAGCTCAGTCACCTTGTACAGACAGAGTTGTCGTGTCAAAGTGTCCTCCCGCTGGATAACAGGAGCAGTATTAGCTGATACTGACTTCCAATATACAGGTACTTGTACCTCGCGAAGCCATCAATAGGCAACACATTTGTCAAACCTTACAAAGTTAGGTATAATTATACCTGATATAGTTATCAACATCAATACTTATATCCTATGTAGTTATCAATACTTATATCCTATATAGTTATCAATAGTTATACCTTATGTAGTTATCAATAGTTATATCCTATACAGTTATCAATAGTTATATCCTATATAGTTATCAATAGTTATATCCTATGTAGTTATCAATAGTTATATCCTATGTAGTTATCAAGTTATATCCTATATAGTTATCAATAGTTATATCCTATACAGTTATCAATAGTTATACCTTATGTAGCTATCAATAGTTATACCTTATATAGTTATCAATTGTTATATCTTATGTAGTTATCAAGTTATATCCTATGTAGTTATCAATAGTTATACCCTGTGTAGTTATCAATAGTTATATCCTATACAGTTATCAAGTTATATCCTATGTAGTTATCAACAGTTATACCCAAAAGATTATCATTTGTTATATCCCAATGTCTTAGGTGATACTGCAATAACAATAACATGAAATGGGTTATCAATTCTACCCAATACATTTATCAATGGTACACTACACTATAATAGTGTGAGTTCTTTTCATATGGTTAATTAAATACTACCTCTTTTCCAAAGAGTGGACAAAATGATTGATTGATTGAACTATTCTTAAGAGTAATAAAAAGAATAGTGTGTAATTTGTTTTGTGTGTATAAATTGCAGGGAAATGTGCAAGTCAGCAAAGTTGGAGACAATGAAAGTGGAGACAGGTGTGGTCAGTGGCCCATGAATCTGGTCAGGTGAGCTAACTCTGTGTTAAAGAACCACCCAGGCGTCATTACAATAGCCTCCTTTCCATCGCACCTGTCTCAGGTTACCTGGATTATCACCCAGCAAACACTTTCCCCCTTTTCTTTCTACTCTCCAAACTGTCATTTCTTTACAATGGAAAGATGTATGAAATATTCCACTCCACAAACGAGAAGGCAGTGTGTTGGGGTATGTAACGGCAACGTCCACACCCCTCATACGCATCACTACACACCTAGGTGTAATAAATTAGTGATTAACACTCATCTCTCTTTTACACCTGAGAACTGGCGTTATAGAGGCCTCTACCTGTGTAAGACATACAATGTGACACTGCTTCCTCGAGGTAGGAAATCAGAGCTGTCCATTGAGTGAGAAAACACGCTGTCACCAAGAAATCGGAATACCTGCCAATCCGCAATCCTTTCATGTTTCCGACAAATCTGGACAGGCAAACCGGCTAATAAGACTTACCTGTGTCGTCGTTTTAGTCCAATGTTGGCGTGAATCGTCCTAGGGCTGTCAGACACAGTATTTCGTCCACACCTGGCTTATCCTGAACCACTATCTCAGTCGCTATGTCTTAAAACAACAAATATGGCCACGGAGAGAGGGCAGGTCACCAAGTGATCATGTGACTTGCTTTGTTGCACGCGCACCTGTGAAGCGTATACAAGACACGGCTGACAGGATACGATGTGAGTAGAGGTAGCGTAGCGTTCTTGAAAACGCGATAATTGGGAAAGTTCTCTCACGGAAGCGTTGTTACGCCATGTTAGATAGTCGTCACTGGTTGACAGGGACTGGGAGGTGATCGGACCTGTTGACGTGGGCGTGGCCGTAGCGCACACACAACACGCGGTTTGTCAACTCGGAGGGTCTAACGGATCTAGACCGTGACGTATGTAAGTGCTATGTTTACATAACAATATGTACCGGCGAAGCACTGGGGTATGTCTGACCGATCTAAGTATGCTGTAGTCGCTCTCTATGTGGCTAGATTGAAGCGCCAACATTTGAAAGCTGTGCGTTATTGATTCGCTTCGTGTGGGATGGTGAGAGGGAAGGATCAGTATCGCCAGCCGTCACACGGATTCAGTGTTCGAATCTATAAAATCAATACGTGTGAACGTCATACGTCCCTATAGGTATTGTGTGGTGTGTTCAGACACTTATTGGGTTTGTCAAAACACCTATTCAACAGAAGTGGTTGGCTGATGGCGAACGTCCTTATTCTACTATGGTATTCAAATTTTATTTCGAATGCAAACGAGAAATAAAATCTCTTATGTCTATTTTAAGATTGTAGCAATACAGTATACCTGAATCATATTTTATGATTGGATGTGAATTAGACATCCTGTACATCTAACAACCTCCCCAATGATGCCATATATTTAACAAATGAATATTAGGAGTGAAGTTATTAATATCAGTATACCAACAGTCTGTTTACGATGGAAGGGGGAAATGACACAGACATGATGTTCATTACATGGCGGGGTGCTGATGTAGGGTGGTGGTGGGTCCCATGAGTGAATACTTGCGGAGCAGTCAGGAAACAACAGTTGAGTTGACTTTATTCATGTATTGATCCTACATACATACATTCAGATTGCGTCAGCCATGTCTCTCGTGCAGACGACCCACCTGTGCTCCATGTGACCTGTAAAAAAGTTCCCCGTGGAATATTGTTACCGGTGTAAGGTCAATCTGTTCACGAAAAATTCTTCTTTGGCATCGTGTGTTCATAGCTTTCGGCCATGGGAGCCGTGCCAAATTACACTTGTCAGAGGGGTACACAAAGTACATGATCTAGACTACCAGTTGTCGGACTTTCATTTTTGTGGAAGCCTCGGCTGAGTGGGTTAGATCGCTCACTTTGTGTGCTGGCGATTAGGTGCCTCACTCTGGCAGTGTGGGTTAGAATCCCGGACGAGACTCAACCCAAAAAAGTATGAGAATCTGTACTTTACTAAGAAAGTGTTATCCCAAATATAACATTTGTTAAAATTCCTGTCTCCTCTAAGTTCCTCTGTTAGAGTGCTACAAGGTTTATTATTCACATCCACAGTTTACAATATTTTCATTATCCACCCAGGGCGGTCGGGTAGCTTAGTGGTTAAAGCGTTCGCTCATCAGGCCGAAGACCCGGGTTCGATTCCCGACATGGGTACAATGTGTGAAGCCCATTTCTGGTGTCCCCCGCCATGATATTGCTGGAATATTGCTAAAAGCGGCGTAAAACCATACTCACTCACTCACTCATTATCCAACCAACCATAAGTCCATACCCTTCACTGGTGTAAAGGCTGCACTGTGTCCAGTTGTCGGACATTGCTATTCACTGTTCCGAGATGCGCTCTTAGGTGTCCTAGGAACCTGTGTTCCTGGGTTCAAATCCCTGATTATGTGTCTTGGTTTGTCAGCACCATACCTGGACTCAAGGCTGAGTGCATGTCATCGTCACCTGACAGTGTGAGATGCTGACATCATCGTATGTTGATGTCGCTGACATATTGATGACTGCAGTGTTAAACAATATTCCCAGACTCACTGATGAAGCCTGCTTTTTGTTCTGGCAGGGACTTCAGTGTGACGACCACGTGGGACGGCGAGAGTGTCACACATCCCCCTGTCAGGATCAAGCTCTCCGCACATGAAGATGGGTGTCTCATGACAGTACGCGCCCCACTCTTCAATGACCCCCCTGCCCCGCCCAGGGAGAGAGGGGCACCTGTTCCAGGACTGTGGGACTATGAAGGTAGGTCAGCTAGTGGTGATGGCCACCGACCTGTTAGACACTAAGAAGGAAAAATTGTAGAGTAACATCTAATCTATGAAAAGAACATATCATGAAAAACAGTTGTTAAGTTATCTTAATAAAAATATAATAAAAAGGAGCCCAGAGACTCTCTTCCTGATACTACAGTAATCTAGACTTGCCAAACATTATAGACTTGCATGGGCTGTATTGGATATACTTGTTTCAGGGTCTTCTCAACAATGGGTACATTATGTGAAGCTCAGTTGTGGTGATAACTGCTGGAATATTTCTAAAAGAGGCCCAAAGCAATTACACTCACTCTGTTCCCCCATAGTGTTGTAATGTGATCAGAGAGCTTATTGGATCAATACAGTAATACTCCCATGAGACCAAAGCCATGGATATCAGATATTTAAATATTTCACGACTTATTGTGCGGCTTATTGCACTAGGTAATATATATAAACATCACAAGACAATGCAAAGGGAGTGGAGCTCCAAGTTAGTCTGGTATCTGGTCTGTTGAAATCAATGGACGTATGTTATTAACAGGTAATCATGGCTAGCGCTTCTTCTCTCACCCCAGTCCACTTGTGTTCACATCCTATTTCTCCGCCATGAGTCAGCCATTAGCCAAGTGTCACCAGGTATTGGAGTGTATGACTTACTAGGAAACTGGCCAGTACTGACGGTTACAGTGTAACAGACAGTTGTCATAGTAGGTTACTAACATACAGCTTGTACTACAGACAGTTACATTGTACAACAGACAGTTACATTGTACAACAGACATTCATTACCGTTTATACGAATTGTGTAGATGTCGATCACTGGCTTGTCTGATCATTTACAGACCGCCATCTTAGAGCTGGAATATTGTTGTGTGCTCTGAAATTTGTGAAATCCTCTGAGTCATGATAGCAGCAGAATATGTGAAACCTTCCCAGCGTCACAACAGGAGCACAATATGTGAAACCCTCACAGCGTCACAACAGGAGCACAATATGTGAAACCCTCCCAGAGTCACAACAGGAGCACAATATGTGAAACCCTCCCAGCGTCACAACAGGAGCACAATATGTGAAACCCTCCCAGAGTCACAACAGGAGCACAATATGTGAAACCCTCCCAGAGTCACAACAGGAGCACAATATGTGAAACCCTCACAGCGTCACAACAGGAGCACAATATGTGAAACCCTCCCATGGCAATGACAGGAGCACAATATGTGAAACCCTCACAGCGTCACAACAGGAGCGCAATATGTGAAACCCTCACAGCATCACAACAGGAGCACAATATGTGAAACCCTCCCAGCATCACAACAGGAGCACAATATGTGAAACCCTCCCAGCGTCACAACAGGAGCACAATATGTGAAACCCTCACAGCGTCACAACAGGAGCACAATATGTGAAACCCTCACAGCATCACAACAGGAGCACAATATGTGAAACCCTCCCAGAGTCACAACAGGAGCGCAATATGTGAAACCCTCCCAGCGTCACAACAGGAGCACAATATGTGAAACCCTCACAGCGTCACAACAGGAGCACAATATGTGAAACCCTCCCAGCATCACAACAGGAGCACAATATGTGAAACCCTCACAGCGTCACAACAGGAGCACAATATGTGAAACCCTCCCAGGGCAATGATGGGAGCACAATATGTGAAACCCTCCCAGGGCAATGACAGGAGCACAATATGTGAAACCCTCCCAGGGCAATGATGGGAGCACAATATGTGAAACCCTCCGAGGGCAATGACAGGAGCACAATATGTGAAACCCTCCGAGGGCAATGACAGGAGCACACTATGTGAAACCCTCCCAGGGCAATGACAGGAGCACAACATGTGAAACCGTCCCAGGGCAATGACAGGAGCACAACATGTGAAACCCTCCCAGGGCAATGACAGGAGCACAATATGTGAAACCCTCCCAGGACAATGACGGGAGCACAATATGTGAAACCCTCCCAGGGCAATGACAGGAGCACACTATGTGAAACCCTCCCAGGGCATTGACGGGAGCACAATATGTGAAACCCTCCCAGGGCAATGACAGGAGCACAATATGTGAAACCCTCCCAGGGCAATGAATAGAGCGCAATATGTGAAACCATCCCAGGGCAATGACAGGAGCACAATATGTGAAACCATCCCATGGCAATGACAAGAGCACAATATGTGAAACCCTCCCAGGGCAATGACAGGAGCACAATATGTGAAACCCTCCCATGGCAATGACAGGAGCACAATATGTGAAACCCTCCCAGGGCAATGACAGGAGCACAATATGTGAAACCCTCCCAGGGCAATGACAGGAGCACAATATGAGAAAACCCTCCCAGGACAATGGTGAGAGCACAATACGTGAAACCCTCTCATGGCAATGACAGGAGCACAATATGTGAAACCCTCCCATGGCAATGACAGGAGCACAATATGTGAAACCCTCCCATGGCAATGACAGGAGCACAATATGTGAAACCCTCCCAGGGCAATGACAGGAGCACAATATGTGAAACCCTCCCAGGGCAATGACAGGAGCACAATATGTGAAACCCTCCCAGGGCAATGACAGGAGCACAATATGTGAAACCCTCCCAGGGCAATGACAGGAGCACAATATGTGAAACCCTCCCAGGGCAATGACAGGAGCACAACATGTGAAACCGTCCCAGGGCAATGACAGGAGCACAATATGTGAAACCCTCTCAGGGCAATGACAGGAGCACAACATGTGAAACCCTCCCAGGGCAATGACAGGAGCACAACATGTGAAACCCTCCCAGGGCAATGGTGAGAGCACAATACGTGAAACCCTCTCATGGCAATGACAGGAGCACAACATGTGAAACCCTCCCAGGGCAATGACAGGAGCACAACATGTGAAACCCTCCCAGGGCAATGGTGAGAGCACAATACGTGAAACCCTCTCATGGCAATGACAGGAGCACAATATGTGAAACCCTCTCATGGAAATGACGGGAGCACACTATTTGAAACCCTCCCAGGGCAATGATGGGAGCACCATATGTGAAACCCTCCCAGGGCAATGATGGGTGCACAATATGTGAAACCCTCCCAGGGCAATGACAGGAGCACACTATGTGAAACCCTCCCAGGGCAATGACAGGAGCACAATATGTGAAACCCTCCCAGGGCAATGACAGGAGCACACTATGTGAAACCCTCCCAGGGCAATGACAGGAGCACACTATGTGAAACCCTCCCAGGGCAATGACAGGAGCACAATATGTGAAACCCTCCCAGGGCAATGACAGGAGCACACTATGTGAAACCCTCCCAGGGCAATGACAGGAGCACACTATGTGAAACCCTCCCAGGGCAATGACAGGAGCACAACATGTGAAACCCTCTCATGGCAATGACAGGAGCACAATATGTGAAACCCTCTCAGGGCAATGACAGGAGCACAACATGTGAAACCCTCCCAGGGCAATGACAGGAGCACAACATGTGAAACCCTCCCAGGGCAATGGTGAGAGCACAATACGTGAAACCCTCTCATGGCAATGACAGGAGCACAACATGTGAAACCCTCCCAGGGCAATGACAGGAGCACAACATGTGAAACCCTCCCAGGGCAATGGTGAGAGCACAATACGTGAAACCCTCTCATGGCAATGACAGGAGCACAATATGTGAAACCCTCTCATGGAAATGACGGGAGCACACTATTTGAAACCCTCCCAGGGCAATGATGGGAGCACCATATGTGAAACCCTCCCAGGGCAATGATGGGTGCACAATATGTGAAACCCTCCCAGGGCAATGACAGGAGCACACTATGTGAAACCCTCCCAGGGCAATGACAGGAGCACAATATGTGAAACCCTCCCAGGGCAATGACAGGAGCACACTATGTGAAACCCTCCCAGGGCAATGACAGGAGCACACTATGTGAAACCCTCCCAGGGCAATGACAGGAGCACAATATGTGAAACCCTCCCAGGGCAATGACAGGAGCACACTATGTGAAACCCTCCCAGGGCAATGACAGGAGCACACTATGTGAAACCCTCCCAGGGCAATGACAGGAGCACAACATGTGAAACCCTCTCATGGCAATGACAGGAGCACAATTAGACAGTGGATCAGATCCTTGCCATTATGTTATCAGATGTGTTTGTCTACAATAACCATGTACGGGCAGTGCCAAGAGTTACAGCAGCTGGTGAGAATAAAATCCCAAACCAGCGTGGCTCAGTCTCACAGTTACTAAGTTACCAAAGTTGAATGACATCTGAAGCTCAATACAGGTGAGATGCACAGACATGGAGAAGGTCAGCTTGATAAGCTGGTTGCAACAGTTGGCCGGGCGGACAGTCTTTACGTATTGACCTTGTACAGTGACCTTGACTCCTACTCCAATTAATGCGGGCTGGTATTAAGGTATTAGCACTTCGGCTCTGTAGGACAACACCTCTAGCAGCTGGTTGTTGGCTGTTGACACTGCGCCAACTTTGGACAGAACTTGACATTTTCGTATTTCTTTCCTGCTGATAGAAACTTTGTTATTAGTTTTAAAAGAGGATTATTTACAGTTTGCTTCACAATAGTGTAGAATTCAAAATATGTATAATCTTAGATAACGTACCTTAACACTCTTATTAGGAAAATGAAGAAAGTGTTTTTTATTGCTCTGAGTGTGTCCTTTGACGCAATGTTGAGATGGATTTGAGTATTATGGGGGTGTTGTTATAAATAGACAGACAGAAAGACGACACAAACAACAACTCATCAGAGTCAGGAAGACTTTGTTGTCCTGATGTTATCCTGATGTTATCCTGGTGTTATCCTGGTGTTGTTTGTTATCCTGGTGTTGTTTGTTATCCTGGTGTTGTTTGTTGTGCTGATGTTATCCTTGTGTTGTTTGTTGTCATGGTGTTATCCTGGTGTTGTTTTTTATCATGGTGTTGTTTGTTATCCTGGTGTTATCCTGGTTTTGTTTGTTATCTTGGTGTTGTTTGTTGTCCTGGTGTTATCCTGGTGTTGTTTGTTATCCTGGTGTTATCCTGGTTTTGTTTGTTATCTTGGTGTTGTTTGTTATCTTGGTGTTGTTTGTTGTCCTGGTGTTATCCTGGTGTTGTTTGTTATCCTGGTGTTATCCTGGTTTTGTTTGTTATCCTGGTGTTATCCTGGTGTTGTTTGTTATCCTGGTGTTGTTGGTTATCCTGGTGTTGTTGGTTATCCTGGTGTTGTTTGTTATCTTGGTGTTGTTGGTTATCCTGGTGTTATCCTGGTGTTGTTGGTTATCCTGGATCTTCAGGTGAGGATTAGACATCTCTGACCTGTGTCCTTGTTATCCTCCCACCTGATATGCAGCAATATCTGACGAGACAGTTTTCATTTACTTAATGTATTCCGTTAATCCTAAAGAACTGAAGAGTGGGTACAAAATACAATCTGGAAGTACTAATATTTGGTTTAAAGTTTTGCAGGCGTGCATGTTCACAAACAATAGTTCTGCATACAAGTGTCTAGACTGAAACACAATGTGTTTAAATAATGAGCCACAGTTAACTAATACTGCACCCATGAAGCATGTGACCATATTCAGATAACATTTTGAAGCTTAAAGACCTGAAGTGTCTTTTATTTTATTTTTATTTCTTCCCACTGTCCAACTAGGTTTTTCCTACAAAACATTTGTGAACCTACAATGAAAGTCTGCCCTATTTGCTGTAGTGTTTAAAGCCAGACCCAGCACACTCTCAATGTACGTCATCTTGTCAATTGTTTAAAAAATATATCTTTCAGGAACTTTCCCTGATATAGACCAAATGAATGAATTAATTTTGTTTGGCGTTAGTGTCAGGATGTGGGTTAGATGTCATTTTCATCTGACATGTTGTTTCATTTCAGTTGTGGAGGCGTTCTTCTTAAATGACCATGATGAATATCTAGAGGTGGAGTTGTGTCCGTGAGTTGTCTCCTCTTAGGTTCAACAGGATCAGAAAAAAAACTTTCACATGTAGTTTTGTGTTATTCAGTAAAGAAAATAATAAATAAATTTATGTTGTTTAAGAAGATAAATACAGACAATCAGAGGAAGAAAGAGGAAGAAAGCACATTCATAGAATAGTTGTTGATATGTTGTACGGTGCATGATCCGATTGCTGAATAATTGTATTCAACATATTCAATGAATGAAATACAACATAAAGTTATGCCATTATGCCATTATGCCATGTGAGAAGATTTATTTATTAAAATAAGTTACCACCCTATATTGCTGTAAGCTAAACAGATTCATCAGAATAGATCACAAGAGGAATCTTTCTGTACATGAAGGAGATGCCATGCAAAACTTACCAGGAACCAGTCTGTGTAGGAAATACTTGGTAATACCCAGCTTGTGATGCCATTCATTGTGTGTTGCAGACATGGACAACATTTGCTGCTTCTTCTGAAGGGTCGTCGCAACATTGTCCAGGTAACTAACTAGCAGTGTCATCATCAAGGTAACTCACTCACTCACCCTGGGTCACATGCTGCCTTGTGGTTGTAGTAGTCACATTTTTGTGAAGAGTTGCCCCCCTTAGCTATGACAGGATTAGCTGATCATGGGTCAAATTAAATACGAATAAAATGCGAGTGGTCTTAGTTCGCATTAATGAAACTTCGCATTTATGTCTCCAAAATGACTATCAACAATAAAACGGCCTCACTGCACACTTTGGATAGCGGAAATAGAGTCTTGAATCTATACAGAGACACTGTGTGCACTTTATTCAGCAGCAGTTGTAACAAGTCCATGTCATTTACAGAATAGGAGTTACTGGGGTCAAGAGTTCCACCCTCTCCTGCCAAACTAGGCATCACTGACCACTCCAGTCAGTGAACTGTTGTTAGTTCAATTATTTTATTGCCTTTGAACTTCCTTAGTGTCAGTCAACAGAATAAACATATAAACTGTGTGTTGGTTTTAGGAAAACACTGTTTATTGTTATTACGGAAGTGCTTCACTCTGTGCTAATAAGCGGTGCTTGTGCTGTTTGATTGGATTAAGATAAGGATGTGTATCATTCCACTGGGGATGGGGTGGGGGAGTCGCATTGATATTCACTCACATTTTTGGCTAGGGGTCAGCAGTTGTAATAATTTGGAGACGCATTAATTTGAAGATTTACAGTAAGACTCTTACTGGCAGTGAATTGATGGAATTAATTATGGAGTTAATTTTGACCCTTTTTTTCATTCGTTTGTCCTCAAGGAGCAGCTCCCCCTACAGTTCACCGCCAACATTGACGGCGACACATGGACAGGGGAGACAACTCTCCCTCGCAGTTACTTCCCCTCTTGTGTGACACGGTTCAATGCGTACGCCATTCATGGCTCGGGGGACAAGCGGGTGTATGAAGCTCTGTATCCTGCCACCAAAGGGCAGTTTACAGATCCAGACTTGTAAGTAGTGCACCAAGTAGTGCATGTATTAGATCAGTACTAGACCTGTTAGGATCCGGGCTGGAATAGGTCAATCCATTCTTGCCGTAAAAGGCGACTATACTTGTCGTAAGAGGCGACTATACTTGTCGTAAGAGGCGACTATCAGGATTGGGTGGACAGGCTTGCTGAATTTGTTGATGCATGTCATCGTATTCCAACTCCAATTGTATCTATGTTCATGATGTCAAACACTGGATTGTCTGGTCCAGACTTGATTATTTACAGATTGCCGTCATATAGCTGGAATATTGCTGAGGGCGGCATTAAAGATCAAACAAACAAACAGATCAGTACACAGTGTGCTTCACTGACATTACATGAAGTGGGCTTTAGTAAGTGATTAGTGAATTGAAAATACTGTGCCCCCATCTTAGTATAATGGCTGCAACAACTGCAAGTAGGCCTTATATCTCAACAGGCAGGTTGTTTTTCTGTTTGTATTGGGGTTTTGACACATGAAACAAGTCACAACCCATACATTTCGCTCCTCGGTTATCTTTGGCACACCCAGATTAAGTGCACTCTCAGCAAGGGTATCAGCTAAAAATAGATAATTAACAACTCCACCTCTGAATTACTTAAAGCTTCCACATCTAGACAGGTTGTCATCTTGTTCTGTTGCAGTCATCGCCTCGAGTTCTTCCAGAACATCGACATGTCCTCCGTCCTTAAGTCTAACACCAAGGGATACACGTCGGATATATGGAGCAAGCACACAGAGACGGGGTCATGACCTCCACACTCACTACCTCACTCACTCACTCAACGGGGATAAGATGCATTTAGTGACCTAGGATTGAGCCAGTGGTGACACAGTTAGCTCACAAGGATCAGCGTAACATTGTCAGAGTGTTTGGTCAACACTGCCTTGAACACTGTTTAAATAATATCACAGCATGTCAGGTTTATCGGGGAGATGGATGCGGGTCTCAGATGTTGTCCACTTTGATGCATCCCATGAGCTGGGGCTGCCTTATCACAAGCAGGAGGAACATTAGGACAAGGATGTTATCTGCCTATAAAAGTCCAGTTGGCGGTACACATGCTTTGCAAATCCTGCAGTCAACCGAAATCTGCACATTGAAATTCATGTTGTTTATGAACTGGATGTCTAGTTTGTTACCTAATTTTGATTGGACTGTGCATAGACTCGTTAGTCCAGCCGAAATGAAACTCCGGAATTCCAGCCTAGTTCGGCAAGGGTGGAAACTGGACTTTTGTAGTCAGTTTACGCCCTTGCCTCAGGAAGATGTATATGTACATGATGCTGGCAGTGTGACGGCCTGATACAACTCGGAACAGAATATATGCACATGATGCTGGCAGTGTGACGGCATGATACAACTCGGAACAGAATATATGTACATGATGCTGGCAGTGTGACGGCCTGATACAATTCTGAACAGAATATATGTACATGATGCTGGCAGTGTGACGGCCTGATACAATTCTGAACAGAATATATGTACATGATGCTGGCAGTGTGACGGCCTGATACAATTCTGAACAGAATATATGTACATGATATTGGCAGGGTATATTTGAGGTTATTGTTTTAGAGATACAAACTGTCCCAGATCATGTCTTTTCTTATCTGTACATGTGTTTCATGTGTAAATTGAAATGTGTAGTCATTGGGACATCTCTTCACAAAGTTTTTTTTGCCTTATCTAGTCATATTATTTTGATTATCAATCTTGCCAATGAGTTGAATGACAAGCCTTTCCAATCGGTGCACTAAGGGGGACAACTCTTTTTGACTAATGTGACACTTGCAAACTGACCTATCCTGAAGTAGTCATAAAATGTCCATTTGCCCAACATCAAAGAGACAACAGTTACTGTTTGACATATTCACAAGGGTGGTTCCCTTTGTATCTGGCCTGAGGCCTATAATTAAATTCTAACACAGTGTACATCCAAGCACACAACGCGCGGCTCAACATTTCAGATGAAACAGGACTGGAGACTTGCTCCCCTACCAATCCCCCCCCGCACACGCACACACACACACACACACACACACACACACACACACACGTGTGAACTGTGGGGATTAGTGACCATCAGAAACTACCCACTCAGAGGGCTGGATGTCGGTGGCACTCATGGCTGCAGCATAGTGGCATTGATTGTGACGTCACTGGATACATTGTGACGTCACTGCAACATCCTTATGACATCACTGTGACGTCACTGCAACATCCTTATGACATCATTGTGACATACTGGTAGTGTATCTATGCTCATGTTATCCACCTCTGGTTTGCTGGTACAGCTGGGTGGCACAAGGGTACAGCTGGGTGGCACAAGGGTACATCTGGGTGGCACAAGGGCACAGCCGGGTGGCACAAGGGTACAGCTGGGTGGCACAAGGGCACAGCTGGGTGGCACAAGGGCACAGCTGGGTGGCACAAGGGCACAGCAGGGTGGCACAAGGGTACAGCTGGGTGGCACAAGGGCACAGCTGGGTGGCACAAGGGCACAGCTGGGTGGCACAAGGGTACAGCTGTAACAGCACATTATGTACAACCCTGTTCCCAGACACTCATCCAATCAAAAAGAAAACTTTGTTAATATTTACATATTTTATGGGTGCTTCAATTAGTTGTGAGACACGATGCATTACCACTCCTGGTTGTAAGGCACTGTGGAGGGGCCAGAGGCACTGTCAGGGGAAAACTGGACCTCTGTCAACTGTTATTGTAATTACCAGTATAATAAAGATGCATGTCTCTTACTCTGACGTGTCCAAACCAGCGTGTGGCAGGGTCCATCACAGGATGGGGTGTTCACCCAGTCACATGGTCACTCACAGGATGGGGTGTTCACCCATTGGCAGGGTCACTCACAGGATGGGGTGTTCACCCATTGGCAGGGTCAATCACAGGATGGGGTGTTCACCCAGTCACATGGTCATTCACAGGATGGGATGTTCACCAACAGGCATTGTCACTCACAGGATGGGGTGTTCGACCAATGGCAGGGTCAATCACAGGATTGGGTGTTCACCCAGTCACATGGTCATTCACAGGATGGGGTGTTCACCCATTGGCAGGGTCAATCACAGGATGGGGTGTTCACCCAGTCACATGGTCACTCACAGGATGGGGTGTTCACCCAGTCACATGGTCATTCACAGGATGGGGTGTTCACCCATTGACAGGGTCACTCACAGGATGGGGTGTTCACCCATTGGCAGGGTCCATCACAGGATGGGGTGTTCACCCACAGGCATTGTCACTCACAGGATGGGGTGTTCACCCAGGGGCATGGTCACTCACAGGATGGGGTGTTCATCCAGGGGCATGGTCACTCACAGGATGGGGTGTTTACCCATAGGCATGGTAACTCACAGGGTGGGGTGTTCACCCAGTCACATGGTCATTCACAGGTGGGGTGTTCCACCAGGGGCATGGTCATTCACAGGATGGGGTGTTCACCAAGGGGCATGGTCATTCACAGGATGGGGTGTTCACAAAGTGACATGGTCATTTACAGAATGGGGTGTTCACCCAGTGGCATGGTCATTCACAGGATGGGGTGTTCACCAAGTGACATGATCACAGGATGGGCTGTTCACCCAGTCACATTGTCACTCACAGGATAGGGTGTTCACCCAGGGCCATTCACGGGATGGGGTGTTCACCCAGGGCCATTCAAGGGATGGGGTGTTCACCAAGTGGCATAGTCACTCAAAGGATGGGGTGTTCACCCAGTCACATGGTCACTCACAGGATGGGGTGTTCACCCAGTCACATGGTCACTCACAGGATGGGGTGTTCACCCAGTCACATTGTCACTCACAGGATGGGGTGTTCACCCAGTCACATGGTCACTCACAGGATGGGGTGTTCACCCAGTCACATGGTCACTCACAGGATGAGGTGGTCACCCAGTCACATGGTCACTCACAGGATGGGGTGTTCACCCAGGGGCATGGTCATTTACAGGATGGGGTGTTCACCAAGTGGCATGGTCATTTACAGAATGGGGTGTTCACCCAGGGGCATGGTCATTCACAGGATGGGGAATTCACCCAGGGGCATGGTCATTTACAGGATGGGGTGTTCACCAAGTGGCATGGTCACTCATAGGATGGGGTGGCAGTCAGGGCTGTTCACTGTGTGTATTCCATTTGTGGAGTGATATGCAGAGCTTGGGGCAAGGCAAGTATGGTGACTAGCAGCTATATTTTGGTTAATTTATACTCTTGCAAGATATGGAAATGTATCTCAGTTTACATTGATAGTTTGGGAGGAAAGATATCGTGGTTGAATAAATAATATTCCTGTGATGATAGTATCTACCTTATGGGAAATATAGAGTCTATATTCATTCAGGTTTAAGAATTTTCTTGTACAGTTTTAATATATTCACATTTAAAAACTAATAATCCAAATTGAGTCCCGCTGAGTAGTGATATATATGTCAAAAATAAAATATTCTTCACATCTATCACGCTATCTTGACAATTGGAAGCTTCAAGCTTGATGAAATACCCATTTGTGCCACTGAAGTGTGGTCCCAAAACCGTTAAGTGTTTTCCTAATCCTACGAATACTTTTTTAAGTGCATGATTTATTAACATTTTTGTGTTATCATTGACATGCAGGGTGACGCAACACACATAAAGATAGCAGGGAGTTGTGAAGTGCAGCGGGAACACTGCATGCATGTATGAATGGATCAGTCAGCAGCTGAGGATGCAGGAGTCCAGAGATGCTATGCCATGTCTTGTTGACAGGAATCAAGACCATCTCTGGCACTGTCCTGCCAAGTCATGACCGGTGCAGCTGTACTTGTGTCTAACACCTGAGAGGATCTTGAGGGACCAGTCATTTATTGTGGTGGGGGGGTGGAGTTGGTGTTAGAGGGAATTGGGGGAGGGTCACTGAAATATATGACAGTCTCTAGGGGAGGGTCGCCAAAAATAAACACAAACATTTGGGAGTATAAAAAAACCTCTGACCCCGCCCCCTCTGTAATCAATGACCGGTCCCTTATCAGTCCATGGAACTAGACTAGACTAGACTAGACTAGACTAGACTAGACTAGACTAGACCAACACTCCACATCCACAGGTTGGTGACTGGACCAACTCTCCCTGTGACCTGACTCACTGAGTGTCAACAATTAGGTCACATAGATCTTTGTTCACACTATCAACCACTTGGTCATCAGATCAAAACACGATTTAGTCTGTCACTCACAACCACATACTTGAGTCACATACATACACCAGATCACGTTTGATTTAGTCTCTCCCTCAGTTAGAGGAGCTTCACACACTGGGGTAGTATCATCAGTGATATTGAATACTGGGGTCACTAGCAAATTAATCCTGCACTCGGCAAAAACCTCTTCATAATTCTCCCTGCAGACCACAGTGTTTAAAAACAGCAACAGTTGACATGGAAACATGCTGTCAGAAGTCTTTAGAGAAGGTAGAAACCTCCAAAGAGCTTAATCACTTGCAGAATTCAAAATGAATTATGTACAATTTAATAATACAGGTGAATGCACATTCAGAGAGGATTTTAATGCAATCCTATTTTCATAATAAAGAGGGGTGGTTGGGTAGTCTAGTGGTTAAAGTGTTCGCTCATCATGACAAAGATCCGGGTTCAATTCCCCACATGGGTACAATGTGAGAAGCCCAATTCTGGTGACCCCTGCTGTGATATTGCTGGAATATTGCTAAAAGCGGCATAAAACAATACTCACTCACACTTCATAATGAAGAATTATCAGAACCATTTGAAATAGATCCTGTTATTCCTGTTGATGTTTTATTGAAAGTTTATGCCAAAGGAAAGTTATCAACTGCTTAACTTTCTGTCACTTGTGAGGTTTTACTGATGTTTTATTGCAACTGTCATGTTCCATGTCCGTTGAGGGTCTAGCCCATCAGGTTATTGGAAGTAGATGCTTGTACTTCCTGCCCCAGCTTGTTGAACAGTGCCCCCTGCTGGCAAGTTCTCCTCCTCGGGTGTCACTCCCATCATGCCGCCAACAACGCGGAACGCTCGCCTCCATGGGTCAGGTGACCCAAACATAACTCACGTGGCAGATGATTGGACGACAATACCACCTTGTCATGATGTTTCACAAGTCATGGGTCCTGTACGTAGGGAGAGATCCTTACTTGACTCGAGAAATAAAATTGATGAATTTATGGCTGTCAGAGGTAAGTGGTATAATCAGGGAGAAGTCATTGGATAGTCTGGCAGGACCTGCCACACACTAGGAGACATGATCTCATCACGCCTCAATAACTAGATTCTCCCTCGCTCTGATAGGCTGACATAGATTCCTCCAAAATGGTTGTTAAAGAAGCCATTTTCAAGCCTATTCACAGATTTGGGCTGATGTATCCTCCTCCAGCACACCTGTTGAAGGGTTGAAGGGCTGATCCTGACACCCTGGGAAACTCACGCTTTTAGAAACATATACTATTTTCCAGGAGATAAATGTTAAGATGTAGCTTGAATGTGACAATCAAGTGTTAAAATATCTGTGTGTCAAAGTTTCAACACGTTTACAAATCAAGATGAGTTCTTGCAATGGCATCTTCAGTTCCGACATCAAACCGTTAGTGATTCGTATGAGACCTGGTCTGACCAGGTGTTCCATGCAGAACTCCCATGATGCAGTAGACAGGAAACAGGAATTTTCGGAGAATGTTTTATTCATAAAAAATAAGAATGGTTTATATTAACAACTGACACGCTAATTCATTGCACACAACCACAAAGCACCATCCCACACCATCTCCCAAATGAAGGAAAACTACTGTAATACACAACTTCTCATTCAGATTCCTCGAAACAAGTTCAATGGGGGTCAAACCTAGGACCAGTTGTCAGTGAAACAAAGCCATTCATCCACTCTCTTCTGTCCGTGAACGCCGATACCATGTACATGTATTACCATGAAGTTGGTGACTTTGGTAATTAATCCAACATTTCACACACTGCCTGTCCAGATAAACAGGTCATTCAAACTGCACGGTATTACCGGTACACCGCAATATGCTTTCTAAACGATACGTATTGCAACTTTTTTTCTGTGTTCTGATATATTGGGTAACGATAACATATATTGTATCATTTAACCTAAAATTCACACTGAAATTCATTTATTAATTATGTTTCCCTTTGAAATTGATAGAGAAAACAGGAAATGCGAAAATTATTTTTGTTGTTAAATGACTACAAAATGGTGTTGACTGACCACGCTGTGTAATATTTACTTGAGTTTGTAGAAGTAGGATCTGCATGAGTAATCACTGTTAATCACTGTCAAACACTCTAGCCCTGAATATATCGCAATACGCCTCGCATACTGATACCTGATTTGCAGTATATCACAATACAAGTTTTCTGCCCAGACATAGACCTACTGGTCCTGGAGCACTGTCCCCCCTTTCACACAGCCCCCAGAAACTAGCAGTAGAGACACACATATTCTATGAAATGAAAAACAAGGATGATGTTATTTCATTGATAACGAGCTCACCCGAAAGAGAAAAACAGACAGTTCTCAAAATACAATTTTTTCACACTTCAGTTATATTTTGCTTTCAACAACACTCCAGCGTATGACTTGCATATTTTCGGCACTCATTCATTAAAAGTTCATTTGCACAGACACAAGATGTCTACCCATGACAGTCATGTCCATCATATCCAACAGTCAACTGGAGTTATCTCCCATGGTTCAGGGGTAAGATACCCCTACTGCCCATTATGACCTCTGGGCCATCGGTGACTCTTGTCTCGCACTGAACATTGCCCAGTACTCGGGGTCGGGCTGACTCCCCACCAGAGGGCGACACCGGGATAACAGGTCCACTGCAGTCAAGAACTCGAAGGATCTGGCATCCTGAGACTCCTGAAGAAAAGAAAGGCAACTAGAATGTCGCCCATCCCCATGTTTTCCTTACCTGCATCACTTGAGGCTTTCCTCCCACATATAAAGTAAGACCTACCTATACTAAAACACTTTAGAACCCACCATCAACTTTAACTAAAAAAATCAGAAAAAATGTGTTTTTGTTCTCAAACCAGTACACAACATTGTTATGTTTAATTATCTCAAGCCTGACTACCCAGAACAACTTAATTTGATTTTAGTGGCCATTTCCCCAAATATTACAAAAACCAAATATGCGTTTTCAAGTGTTACAGTACATATCCAAAGTCACTCCCGGGTCTTAACTTTATTGGGCCCACATACTTGCTCCAAGGAGAAAACCGTGTATAGAACAATGGGGGGCCCACATACTTGCTCCAAGGAGAAAACCGTGTATAGAACAATGGGGGGCCCACGTACTTGCTCCAAGGAGGAAACCGTGTATAGAACAATGGGGGGCCCACGTACTTGCTCCAAGGAGAAAACCGTGTATAGAACAATGGGGGGCCCACATACTTGCTCCAAGGAGAAAACCGTGTATAGAACAATGGGGGGCCCACATACTTGCTCCAAGGAGAAAACCGTGTATAGAACAATGGGGGGCCCACATACTTGCTCCAAGGAGGAAACCGTGTATAGAACAATGGGGGGCCCACATACTTGCTCCAAGGAGGAAACCGTGTATAGAACAATGGGGGGCCCACATACTTGCTCCAAGGAGGAAACCGTGTATAGAACAATGGGGGGCCCACATACTTGCTCCAAGGAGGAAACCGTGTATAGAACAATGGGGGGCCCACGTACTTGCTCCAAGGAGGAAACTGTGTATAGAACAATGGGGGGCCCACATACTTGCTCCAAGGAGAAAACCGTGTATAGAACAATGGGGGGCCCACGTACTTGCTCCAAGGAGGAAACCGTGTATAGAACAATGGGGGGCCCACATACTTGCTCCAAGGAGGAAACCGTGTATAGAACAATGGGGGGCCCACATACTTGCTCCAAGGAGGAAACCGTGTATAGAACAATGGGGGGCCCACGTACTTGCTCCAAGGAGGAAACCGTGTATAGAACAATGGGGGGCCCACGTACTTGCTCCAAGGAGAAAACCGTGTATAGAACAATGGGGGGCCCACGTACTTGCTCCAAGGAGGAAACCGTGTATAGAACAATGGGGGGCCCACGTACTTGCTCCAAGGAGGAAACCGTGTATAGAACAATGGGGGGCCCACGTACTTGCTCCAAGGAGGAAACCGTGTATAGAACAATGGGGGGCCCACGTACTTGCTCCAAGGAGGAAACCGTGTATAGAACAATGGGGGGCCCACGTACTTGCTCCAAGGAGAAAACCGTGTATAGAACAATGGGGGGCCCCCGTACTTGCTCCAAGGAGAAAACCGTGTATAGAACAATGGGGGGCCCACGTACTTGCTCCAAGGAGAAAACCGTGTATAGAACAATGGGGGGCCCACGTACTTGCTCCAAGGAGAAAACCGTGTATAGAACAATGGGGGGGCCCACGTACTTGCTCCAAGGAGAAAACCGTGTATAGAACAATGGGGGGCCCACGTACTTGCTCCAAGGAGGAAACCGTGTATAGAACAATGGGGGGCCCACGTACTTGCTCCAAGGAGAAAACCGTGTATAGAACAATGGGGGGCCCACGTACTTGCTCCAAGGAGAAAACCGTGTATAGAACAATGGGGGGCCCACGTACTTGCTCCAAGGAGAAAACCGTGTATAGAACAATGGGGGGCCCACGTACTTGCTCCAAGGAGAAAACCGTGTATAGAACAATGGGGGGCCCACGTACTTGCTCCAAGGAGAAAACCGTGTATAGAACAATGGGGGGCCCACGTACTTGCTCCAAGGAGAAAACCGTGTATAGAACAATGGGGGGCCCACGTACTTGCTCCAAGGAGAAAACCGTGTATAGAACAATGGGGGGCCCACGTACTTGCTCCAAGGAGAAAACCGTGTATAGAACAATGGGGGGCCCACGTACTTGCTCCAAGGAGAAAACCGTGTATAGAACAATGGGGGGCCCACGTACTTGCTCCAAGGAGAAAACCGTGTATAGAACAATGGGGGGCCCACGTACTTGCTCCAAGGAGAAAACCGTGTATAGAACAATGGGGGGCCCACGTACTTGCTCCAAGGAGAAAACCGTGTATAGAACAATGGGGGGCCCACGTACTTGCTCCAAGGAGAAAACCGTGTATAGAACAATGGGGGGGCCCACGTACTTGCTCCAAGGAGAAAACCGTGTATAGAACAATGGGGGGCCCACGTACTTGCTCCAAGGAGAAAACCGTGTATAGAACAATGGGGGGCCCACGTACTTGCTCCAAGGAGAAAACCGTGTATAGAACAATGGGGGGCCCACGTACTTGCTCCAAGGAGAAAACCGTGTATAGAACAATGGGGGGCCCACGTACTTGCTCCAAGGAGAAAACCGTGTATAGAACAATGGGGGGCCCACGTACTTGCTCCAAGGAGAAAAACGTGTATAGAACAATGGGGGGCCCACGTACTTGCTCCAAGGAGAAAACCGTGTATAGAACAATGGGGGGCCCACGTACTTGCTCCAAGGAGAAAACCGTGTATAGAACAATGGGGGGCCCACGTACTTGCTCCAAGGAGAAAACCGTGTATAGAACAATGGGGGGCCCACGTACTTGCTCCAAGGAGAAAAACGTGTATAGAACAATGGGGGGCCCACGTACTTGCTCCAAGGAGAAAACCGTGTATAGAACAATGGGGGGCCCACGTACTTGCTCCAAGGAGAAAACCGTGTATAGAACAATGGGGGGCCCACGTACTTGCTCCAAGGAGAAAACCGTGTATAGAACAATGGGGGGCCCACGTACTTGCTCCAAGGAGAAAACCGTGTATAGAACAATGGGGGGCCCACGTACTTGCTCCAAGGAGAAAACCGTGTATAGAACAATGGGGGGCCCACGTACTTGCTCCAAGGAGAAAACCGTGTATAGAACAATGGGGGGCCCACGTACTTGCTCCAAGGAGGAAACCGTGTATAGAACAATGGGGGGCCCACATACTTGCTCCAAGGAGGAAACCGTGTATAGAACAATGGGGGGCCCACGTACTTGCTCCAAGGAGAAAACCGTGTATAGAACAATGGGGGGGCCCACGTACTTGCTCCAAGGAGAAAACCGTGTATAGAACAATGGGGGGCCCACGTACTTGCTCCAAGGAGGAAACCGTGTATAGAACAATGGGGGGCCCACGTACTTGCTCCAAGGAGAAAACCGTGTATAGAACAATGGGGGGCCCACATACTTGCTCCAAGGAGAAAACCGTGTATAGAACAATGGGGGGCCCACGTACTTGCTCCAAGGAGAAAACCCTGTATAGAACAATGGGGGGCCCACGTACTTGCTCCAAGGAGAAAACCGTGTATAGAACAATGGGGGGCCCACATACTTGCTCCAAGGAGGAAACCGTGTATAGAACAATGGGGGGCCCACGTACTTGCTCCAAGGAGAAAACCGTGTATAGAACAATGGGGGGCCCACATACTTGCTCCAAGGAGGAAACCGTGTATAGAACAATGGGGGGCCCACGTACTTGCTCCAAGGAGAAAACCGTGTATAGAACAATGGGGGGCCCACATACTTGCTCCAAGGAGGAAACCGTGTATAGAACAATGGGGGGCCCACGTACTTGCTCCAAGGAGAAAACCGTGTATAGAACAATGGGGGGCCCACATACTTGCTCCAAGGAGGAAACCGTGTATAGAACAATGGGGGGCCCACGTACTTGCTCCAAGGAGAAAACCGTGTATAGAACAATGGGGGGCCCACGTACTTGCTCCAAGGAGAAAACCGTGTATAGAACAATGGGGGGCCCACATACTTGCTCCAAGGAGGAAACCGTGTATAGAACAATGGGGGGCCCACGTACTTGCTCCAAGGAGAAAACCGTGTATAGAACAATGGGGGGCCCACGTACTTGCTCCAAGGAGGAAACCGTGTATAGAACAATGGGGGGCCCACGTACTTGCTCCAAGGAGAAAACCGTGTATAGAACAATGGGGGGCCCACGTACTTGCTCCAAGGAGAAAACCGTGTATAGAACAATGGGGGGCCCACGTACTTGCTCCAAGGAGGAAACCTTGTATAGAACAATGGGGGGCCCACATACTTGCTCCAAGGAGAAAACCGTGTATAGAACAATGGGGGGCCCACGTACTTGCTCCAAGGAGAAAACCGTGTATAGAACAATGGGGGGCCCACATACTTGCTCCAAGGAGGAAACCGTGTATAGAACAATGGGGGGCCCACATACTTGCTCCAAGGAGGAAACCGTGTATAGAACAATGGGGGGCCCACGTACTTGCTCCAAGGAGGAAACCGTGTATAGAACAATGGGGGGCCCACGTACTTGCTCCAAGGAGGAAACCGTGTATAGAACAATGGGGGGCCCACGTACTTGCTCCAAGGAGAAAACCGTGTATAGAACAATGGGGGGCCCACGTACTTGCTCCAAGGAGAAAACCGTGTATAGAACAATGGGGGGCCCACGTACTTGCTCCAAGGAGGAAACCGTGTATAGAACAATGGGGGGCCCACATACTTGCTCCAAGGAGAAAACCGTGTATAGAACAATGGGGGGCCCACGTACTTGCTCCAAGGAGAAAACCGTGTATAGAACAATGGGGGGCCCACGTACTTGCTCCAAGGAGAAAACCGTGTATAGAACAATGGGGGGCCCACGTACTTGCTCCAAGGAGAAAACCGTGTATAGAACAATGGGGGGCCCACGTACTTGCTCCAAGGAGAAAACCGTGTATAGAACAATGGGGGCCCACGTACTTGCTCCAAGGAGGAAACCGTGTATAGAACAATGGGGGGCCCACATACTTGCTCCAAGGAGAAAACCGTGTATAGAACAATGGGGGGCCCACGTACTTGCTCCAAGGAGAAAACCGTGTATAGAACAATGGGGGGCCCACGTACTTGCTCCAAGGAGAAAACCGTGTATAGAACAATGGGGGGCCCACATACTTGCTCCAAGGAGAAAACCGTGTATAGAACAATGGGGGGCCCACATACTTGCTCCAAGGAGAAAACCGTGTATAGAACAATGGGGGGCCCACGTACTTGCTCCAAGGAGAAAACCGTGTATAGAACAATGGGGGGCCCACGTACTTGCTCCAAGGAGAAAACCGTGTATAGAACAATGGGGGCCCACGTACTTGCTCCAAGGAGGAAACCGTGTATAGAACAATGGGGGGCCCACATACTTGCTCCAAGGAGAAAACCGTGTATAGAACAATGGGGGGCCCACGTACTTGCTCCAAGGAGAAAACCGTGTATAGAACAATCGGGGGCCCACGTACTTGCTCCAAGGAGAAAACCGTGTATAGAACAATGGGGGGCCCACATACTTGCTCCAAGGAGAAAACCGTGTATAGAACAATGGGGGGCCCACATACTTGCTCCAAGGAGAAAACCGTGTATAGAACAATGGGGGGCCCACATACTTGCTCCAAGGAGAAAACCGTGTATAGAACAATGGGGGGCCCACATACTTGCTCCAAGGAGAAAACCGTGTATAGAACAATGGGGGGCCCACGTACTTGCTCCAAGGAGAAAACCGTGTATAGAACAATGGGGGGCCCACATACTTGCTCCAAGGAGAAAACCGTGTATAGAACAATGGGGGGCCCACGTACTTGCTCCAAGGAGAAAACCGTGTATAGAACAATGGGGGGCCCACATACTTGCTCCAAGGAGAAAACCGTGTATAGAACAATGGGGGGCCCACATACTTGCTCCAAGGAGAAAACCGTGTATAGAACAATGGGGTGACATCACCGGATGTTCATTAGCCACTCTTGTAACTAGAGGTGTCTGCATGCAGTTGCAACCCATGCTTGTCATAAGAGGAGACTAACGGATCGGGTGGTCAGACTCGCTGACTTGGTTGATGAATGTCATTGTATCCCAATTGCATAGATTGATGCTCATGATGTCAACCACTGGATTGTCTGGTTCCGAAAAGAGGATTGCATAAAAAGCTGTCTCAACTCATTTCGCTGATAATTATTCCAATCTTATTAAAATCAGATCTAAGTTCTTGCTACCGCTAAACAAAGATCTGAGGACATCCCATTACAGGTCACGTATGACCTTTAATCCGACCAATCAGAGTGTCGCTTACAAGGTCATTAAAGTGACAGTTGGAATGTGATTTCTGATCATGCAAACTCGAAAGATTTAATATGGGGTATTCCGAACTACAGTTACATGCTTTATGACATACAGTTTATAATGCATACAATCCACGCCGTCTACTAGCCAGTCCAGAATGTTCGTTTGTTCTGGTTTCAAATTTTTACTTGAGAATTTGTCAAAATATGTTTCAAAGCAAAGTGGCCAGTTTGAAACTTGGGCCATAAAGCACGAGAGAGCTGCCTTCTGATTGGCTAATGTCGACTTTTTGTCAGTCATTCTATTGGTTGATCAATATTCACTTCAGATATTAATGAGAAAGCTAATTATTCACACCATATATTGATGGGGGACAGCAAAAATTGGCTTCACAAACTGTGTCCACATGGAGAATCAAACCCGGGGCCTTCAGTGTTAGGAGCAAACACTTTAACCACTAGGCTAACCGCCCAACCCCACCCTCCACTCTCTCCCCTTCAATGACCTTGACCTAATAAAGACCAGTTACATAATGTACAGATAAAGGACGACACGACATCTCAGCGTTAAACTTGAGCTGACAACACTACACAAATTCAAATCAATTGTGAGACGTAAATTATTACCACAATATCAAACACTATCAATTAAACAAATTATACAGTGTCAAAACATTTAATACATTCAAAAATCTATACCAAAATGTATATGTATGATCCAGCCACTTGATCCAAGTATAAAAAACACTTAGCATCGCCATCACATCTGACAGGTACACGCAGCTGTCATTATAATTAATTAGTTGTGTAAACAGTACGGAGGAAGTGGAGATGCTATTTCCCTGCCACTGTCAACAAGTGGGATATATAATTTGTTACAGTGTCAGGAGAATTCTCATATCAAATTCCACTCCAAAGGGAGCATCAAAAAGATATGGGGGAGTTGGAGATAAGTACAGGAAGATTCTGACGGCAGGCCAGCGAGATAGGCGCCCTCTCATGGCTTATACAAGTTCCCGTCAATGAAAGAACAGATTATCACCGATGGAATGCTATTTCCATCCTGTTTTCTATACGCTAGTTTGTTGAAATAGCATTTCAAAGAAAACAGTATAAAGAGAGAGACTTTTGAGTAATGCTATCTTGTAATTAAATGTGACACATTGTGTAACCCAACAAGTTTATCAAAATAGCGTTAAACATGGGTAATTTATCAATATTTCAACAGGCCCAATTTATCCTATCAAGAGTAATGACATGAAATACTGAAAAACTATTGTTTGTCTTGCAAAAATCTTACATCGTTTATTTGGAACTTTCACAACTGATTACAGTGGATAGATAAAACATGTGAGGCAAATATCTTCATAAATGTTTTCGGAATCAAATGATTGATTTGAAGTAAAAAAAGGTATGGTGATTAGTTCCTAAGTATCAACTTATAAGAAAAGTGATATCATGAGGTTGTCTTTTATTTTATATTTGGAACTAGGACACTACCCAGGGTAGCCTTGCTCCAAGGCTGTACTGAAAAAAAAGTCCATGGATGTGTAGTAATTCTATCCACCTAATAGGCAAGTCTAGATATGTGGATAATACAAGCAGAAGGACTCAAGTCTCTTATAGGGACAACTTGTTCTCATTATTTACATAATCTAGATATTATGATTTAAACTAATAATTATTGCCTTAGAGACTTGAGCAAGTCTATAGCCTGGGGTCAGAAGCTTATGGATAGCTCACCTGACTCTCACATGTACACAAGCTGAGTTGGGTTTAAACGCTGCTTTCAGCAGTATTTCAGCTATATGACGATGTGTCAGCCTGATGCGGGAGGAAAGCCTGAAGTGATGCAGGTCTAAGAGCACAGGTAGAGAGGGAGAGAGAGGGATGCGGGAGGAAAGTCTGGAGTGATGCAGGTCTAAGAGCACACGTAGAGAGGGAGAGAGAGAGGGAGAGAGAGGGATGCGGGAGGAAAGCCTGGAGTGATGCAGGTCTAAGAGCACAGGTAGAGAGGGAGAGAGAGAGGGATGCGGGAGGAAAGGAGAGAGAGGGAGGGAGAGAGAGGGAGGGAGAGAGAGGGATGCGGGAGGAAAGCCTGAAGTGATGCAGGTCTAAGAGCACAGGTAGAGAGGGAGAGAGGGAGGGAGAGAGAGGGATGCGGGAGGAAAGCCTGGAGTGATGCAGGTCTAAGAGCACAGGAAGAGAGGGAGAGAGAGAGGGAGAGAGAGGGATGCGGGAGGAAAGCCTGGAGTGATGCAGGTCTAAGAGCACAGGAAGAGAGGGAAGGAGAGAGAGAGAGGGAGGGATGCGGGAGGAAAGCCTGAAGTGATGCAGGTCTAAGAGCACAGGAAGAGAGGGAAGGAGAGAGAGAGAGGGAGGGATGCGGGAGGAAAGCCTGAAGTGATGCAGGTCTAAGAGCACAGGTAGAGAGGGAGGGAGAGAGAGAGGGAGGGAGAGAGAGGGATGCGGGAGGAAAGCCTGAAGTGATGCAGGTCTAAGAGCACAGGAAGAGAGGGAAGGAGAGAGAGAGAGGGAGGGATGCGGGAGGAAAGCCTGAAGTGATGCAGGTCTAAGAGCACAGGTAGAGAGGGAGGGAGAGAGAGAGGGAGGGAGAGAGAGGGATGCGGGAGGAAAGCCTGAAGTGATGCAGGTCTAAGAGCACAGGAAGAGAGGGAAGGAGAGAGAGAGAGGGAGGGATGCGGGAGGAAAGCCTGAAGTGATGCAGGTCTAAGAGCACAGGAAGAGAGGGAGAGAGGGAGGGAGAGAGGGAGGGAGAGAGAGGGATGCGGGAGGAAAGCCTGAAGTGATGCAGGTCTAAGAGCACAGGAAGAGAGGGAAGGAGAGAGAGAGAGGGAGGGATGCGGGAGGAAAGCCTGAAGTGATGCAGGTCTAAGAGCACAGGTAGAGAGGGAGGGAGAGAGAGAGGGAGGGAGAGAGAGGGATGCGGGAGGAAAGCCTGAAGTGATGCAGGTCTAAGAGCACAGGAAGAGAGGGAAGGAGAGAGAGAGAGGGAGGGATGCGGGAGGAAAGCCTGAAGTGATGCAGGTCTAAGAGCACAGGTAGAGAGGGAGGGAGAGAGAGAGGGAGGGAGAGAGAGGGATGCGGGAGGAAAGCCTGAAGTGATGCAGGTCTAAGAGCACAGGAAGAGAGGGAAGGAGAGAGAGAGGGAGGGAGGGAATATGTTACCTACCTTGTAGGTATCAGTTGCACCTATATTGGTTGCTATGGCAACACAGTGATCCGCATCCAACAAAGTCTCCTCAAACAACCAATCAGTTTGCTTCTTCCCATCCAAATACACAGATGTGTCTCGGACCATCCGGTTCATGGAAAGCTTCTCCGTTGGGACATGGAAGTCCAACCTGCTGACCTGGAAACCAATTCCAGTTCCTATAGCCTTGACATAGCTCTCCTTCAGACACTGAAAGTAAAAGGCAGTAAAATTGACTGAAAGAGGAGTTTGATATTTTGGACCCCTCTCTTTAAAAAATGCTGAATCTGCCCTTGCGTGAGTTCATGCACTCACTCACTAACTCACTCACTGATCCCAACTGTATTAGTCTCACCCAGAATCTGTAGAACATGGCCATCTTGTCTTTATCCCCCTCCTGTCTCTCCACCGTCAGCCATTCCTGCTCCGTCAGCTGGCGCCGCAACGTGGAGAAAAACTTCCTGATGTCCTTCCCTGAAATGTGACGTCCTTACAGAATGATGGCCTGGTGTGTTGGGCCCTGGCAGCCGACTGTGTATTCCACATCAGCTGACAGTGTTATAAACTGTGTATCCCACATCAGATGACAGTGTTATAAACTGTGTATCCCACATCAGCTGACAGTGTTATAAACTGTGTATCCCACATCAGCTGACAGTGTTATAAACTGTGTATCCCACATCAGATGACAGTGTTATAAACTGTGTATCCCACATCAGCTGACAGTGTTATAAACTGTGTATCCCACATCAGCTGACAGTGTTATAAACTGTGTATCTCACATCAGCTGACAATGTTATAAACTGTGTATCCCACATCAGCTGACAATGTTATAAACTGTGTATCCCACATCAGCTGACAATGTTATAAACTGTGTATCCCACATCAGCTGACAATGTTATAAACTGTGTATCCCACATCAGCTGACAATGTTATAAACTGTGTATCCCACATCAGCTGACAATGTTATAAACTGTGTATCCCACATCAGCTGACAATGTTATAAACTGTGTATCCCACATCAGCTGACAATGTTATAAACTGTGTATCCCACATCAGCTGACAATGTTATAAACTGTGTATCCCACATCAGCTGACAATGTTATAAACTGTGTATCCCACATCAGCTGACAGTGTTATAAACTGTGTATCCCACATCAGCTGACAGTGTTATAAACTGTGTATCCCACATCAGATGACAGTGTTATAAACTGTGTATCCCACATCAGCTGACAGTGTTATAAACTGTGTATCCCACATCAGCTGACAGTGTTATAAACTGTGTATCCCACATCAGATGACAGTGTTATAAACTGTGTATCCCACATCAGCTGACAGTGTTATAAACTGTGTATCCCACATCAGCTGACAGTGTTATAAACTGTGTATCTCACATCAGCTGACAATGTTATAAACTGTGTATCCCACATCAGCTGACAATGTTATAAACTGTGTATCCCACATCAGCTGACAATGTTATAAACTGTGTATCCCACATCAGCTGACAGTGTTATAAACTGTGTATCCCAAATCAGCTGACAATGTTATAAACTGTGTATCCCACATCAGCTGACAATGTTATAAACTGTGTATCCCACATCAGCTGACAATGTTATAAACTGTGTATCCCACATCAGCTGACAATGTTATAAACTGTGTATCCCACATCAGCTGACAATGTTATAAACTGTGTATCCCACATCAGATCACAATGTTAAAAACTGTGAATTTCACATCAACTGATAATGTTATAAACTGTGTATTTCACATCAACTGACAATGTTATAAACTGTGTATCCCACATCAGCTGACAATGTTATAAACTGTGTATCTCACATCAACTGACAATGTTATAAACTGTGTATCCCACATCAGCTGACAATGTTATAAACTGTGTATCTCACATCAGCTGACAATGTTATAAACTGTGTATCCCACATCAGCTGACAATGTTATAAACTGTGTATCTCACATCAGCTGACAATGTTATAAACTGTGTATCTCACATCAGCTGACAATGTTATAAACTGTGTATCTCACATCAGCTGACAATGTTATAAACTGTGTATCCCACATCAGCTGACAATGTTATAAACTGTGTATCTCACATCAGCTGCTATATGAGAAAGCTATAACTGCGCCACATCACACATCATATGCACCTTTAGGTCTTTGAGAATATAATTTCCAAACCTTTGTAAAATTTGTTGCAAAAATATTCGTTAAAAATGACATTATATCAAAGATAAGATGAACAACTGACAATGCACCTTGACATAAGCTTACTTGACTTTCAGCTAGGTGAATTAAACATTCAATCATTGATAACTAACGCATGATGACTAATCATTTAACTGATTGATAACTCAATCAATGTACTCTCAATACTCCCCCTCCTAACCACTAACATCTTTAACACACACCCCACACCACACCCAACATCTTTGACACCCCCCATGCAGTCTTGTCACAACTGAATCTCAAGTGAACTTGTATCACAAATAATGGCAACAAGTTACTTAAAACACAGTCACTCAATAGCAATTTACATCAACTCTCGGAGTTAAGTAATTTATGAAAATATCTACTCTGAAACTTAAAACTGTTATCAGTCTGATTCTGGCACTGCATCGTTCCTATCAACCTCAACTCCATCATGGTAGCTGCAACTCCCAAAGATTGTCTACAGCTAATGGTCATATAATACAGTTTTTATTTATGATTTCAGAGCGATAACTTCAGCCACCTGCTGACTACCAGAGTATGCTGATGATTTATTGGACAATATTCTCTATACATGCAAAATGTTTGACAGCCTTCAGCATAATAGACAAATTCACGACATGGTAGATAGCGATCTCCTCCTTGCATGTGGACGTGGATGGATGGCTTGTGTAGCGCGGTGGTGAAATATGCTACACTGCTGATAAAATATGCATTTATAATATAGCATTACTGACATCATTATTTGCTTCTGAAGAAAACAGGTTATCGTGATAAAACAACAAAAACAAACATCCCTGGTTTATGATCCTGCTTGTGGTGATTCAGCGGAAGTGCAGATGTCAGGATCACGTGATCCACCTCAGACATACCGTATGTCAGTCGACTTATCACAAGCCTATTTTCAACAATATTTAAAAAATAAATAGAATATTTCTTACAAAACACATTATTGTGTCTGCCCAGTTTTTAAAAAATAAATAAATCATCAATAACAAACGATCATGCTCAATTCAAGATTCACATGTGTAGTAAATATAGAGGGTTTGTCCTCCAACTCATGACAGGCAAAGTCTGATCCAAGAAAAAAAATAATATCTGTCTTGGATACCATCAAACCTTTGTTATCTGGACAGTGCTGATGTCATATGCCTCATTACATCTGATGCAGTCAAACCCTGGTAATCTGGACAGTACTGATGTCATATGTCTCTCTAAATCTGATACAGTCAAACCTTGGTAATCTGGACAGTGCCGATGTCATACGTCTTTATACATCTGATACAGTCAAACCTTGGTAATCTGGACAGTACCAATGTCATATGTCTACTTCTGATAGTCAAACCCTGGTAATCTGGACTGTACTGATGTCATATGTCTCTCTACATCTGATAGTCAAACCTTGGTAATCTGGACAGTACATATGTCACATGTCTCTCTACATCTGATAGTCAAACCTTGGTAATCTGGACAGTACTGATGTCACATGTCTCTCTACATCTGATAGTCAAACCCTGGTAATCTGGACAGTACTGATGTCATATGTCTCTCTACATCTGATAGTCAGACCTTGGTAATCTGGACAGTACTGATGTCATATGTCTCTCTACATCTGATAGTCAAACCTTGGTAATCTGGACAGTACTGATGTCATATGTCTACATCTGATACAGTCAGACTTGGTTATCTGGACAGTACTGATGTCATATGTCTTTCTACATCTGATAGTCAAACCCCGGTAATCTGGACAGTACTGATGTCACATGTCTCTCTACATCTGATAGTCAAACCTTGGTAATCTGGACAGTACTGATGTCATATGTCTCTCTACATCTGATAGTCAAACCTTGGTAATCTGGACAGTACTGATGTCATATGTCTCTCTACATCTGATAGTCAAACCTTGGTAATCTGGACAGTACTGATGTCACATGTCTCTCTACATCTGATAGTCAAACCCTGGTAATCTGGACTGTACTGATGTCACATGTCTCTCTACACTTTATAGTCAGACCTTGGTAATCTGGACAGTACTGATGTCATATGTCTCTCTACATCTGATAGTCAAACCTTGGTAATCTGGACAGTACTGATGTCATATGTCTTTCTACATCTGATAGTCAAACCCCGGTAATCTGGACAGTACTGATGTCATATGTCTCTCTATATCTGATAGTCAGACCTTGGTAATCTGGACAGTACTGATGTCATATGTCTCTCTACATCTGATAGTCAAACCTTGGTAATCTGGACAGTACTGACGTCATATGTCTCTCTACATCTGATACAGTCAAACCTTGGTAATCTGGACAGTACATATGTCACATGTCTCTCTACATCTGATAGTCAAACCTTGGTAATCCTCGACAGTACTGATGTCACATGTCTCTCTACATCTGACAGTCAGACCTTGGTAATCTGGACAGTACTGATGTCACATGTCTCTCTACATCTGATAGTCAAACCTTGGTAATCTGGACAGTACTGATATCATATGTCTCTCTACATCTGATAATCAAACCTTGGTAATCTGGACAGTACTGATGTCATATGTCTCTCTACATCTGATACAGTAAAACCTTGGTAATCTGGACAGTACTGATGTCATATGTCTCTCTACATCTGATACAGTCAAACCTTGGTAATCTGGACAGTACTGATGTCACATGTCTCTCTACATCTGACAGGCAGACCTTGGTAATCTGGACAGTACTGATGTCATATGTCTCTCTACATCTGATAGTCAAACCTTGGTAATCTGGACAGTACTGATGTCACATGTCTCTCTACATCTGATAGTAAAACCTTGGTAATCTGGACAGTACTGATGTCACATGTCTCTCTACATCTGATAGTCAGACCTTGGTAATCTGGACAGTACTGATGTCATATGTCTCTCTACATCTGATAGTCAAACCTTGGTAATCTGGACAGTACTGATGTCACATGTCTCTCTACATCTGATAGTCAAACCTTGGTAATCTGGACAGTACTGATGTCACATGTCTCTCTACATCTGATAGTCAGACCTTGGTAATCTGGACAGTACTGATGTCATATGTCTCTCTACATCTGATGGTCAAACCTTGGTAATCTGGACAGTACTGATGTCATATGTCTCTCTACATCTGATAGTCAAACCTTGGTAATCTGGACTGTACTGACGTCATATGTCTCTCTACATCTGATAGTCAAACCCTGGTAATCTGGACTGTACTGACGTCATATGTCTCTCTACATCTGATAGTCAAACCTTGGTAATCTGGACAGTACTGATGTCACATGTCTCTCTACATCTGATAGTCAAACCCTGGTAATCTGGACAGTACTGATGTCACATGTCTCTCTACACTTTATAGTCAGATCTTGGTAATCTGGACAGTACTGATGTCATATGTCTCTCTACATCTGATAGTCAAACCTTGGTAATCTGGACAGTACTGATGTCATATGTCTCTCTACATCTGATAGTCAAACCCCGGTAATCTGGACAGTACTGATGTCACATGTCTCTCTATATCTGATAGTCAGACCTTGGTAATCTGGACAGTACTGATGTCATATGTCTCTCTACATCTGATAGTCAAACCTTGGTAATCTGGACAGTACTGATGTCACATGTCTCTCTACATCTGATAGTCAAACCTTGGTAATCTGGACTGTACTGATGTCATATGTCTCTCTACATCTGATACAGTCAAACCTTGGTAATCTGGACAGTACATATGTCACATGTCTCTCTACATCTGATAGTCAAACCTTGGTAATCTGGACAGTACATATGTCACATGTCTCTCTACATCTGATAGTCAAACCTTGGTAATCTGGACAGTACTGATGTCACATGTCTCTCTACATCTGATAGTCAAACCTTGGTAATCTGGACAGTACTGATATCATATGTCTCTCTACATCTGATAATCAAACCTTGGTAATCTGGACAGTACTGATGTCATATGTCTCTCTACATCTGATAGTCAAACCTTGGTAATCTGGACAGTACTGACGTCATATGTCTCTCTACATCTGATACAGTCAAACCTTGGTAATCTGGACAGTACATATGTCACATGTCTCTCTACATCTGATAGTCAAACCTTGGTAATCCTCGACAGTACTGATGTCACATGTCTCTCTACATCTGACAGTCAGACCTTGGTAATCTGGACAGTACTGATGTCACATGTCTCTCTACATCTGATAGTCAAACCTTGGTAATCTGGACAGTACTGATATCATATGTCTCTCTACATCTGATAATCAAACCTTGGTAATCTGGACAGTACTGATGTCATATGTCTCTCTACATCTGATACAGTAAAACCTTGGTAATCTGGACAGTACTGATGTCATATGTCTCTCTACATCTGATACAGTCAAACCTTGGTAATCTGGACAGTACTGATGTCACATGTCTCTCTACATCTGACAGGCAGACCTTGGTAATCTGGACAGTACTGATGTCATATGTCTCTCTACATCTGATAGTCAAACCTTGGTAATCTGGACAGTACTGATGTCACATGTCTCTCTACATCTGATAGTAAAACCTTGGTAATCTGGACAGTACTGATGTCACATGTCTCTCTACATCTGATAGTCAGACCTTGGTAATCTGGACAGTACTGATGTCATATGTCTCTCTACATCTGATAGTCAAACCTTGGTAATCTGGACAGTACTGATGTCACATGTCTCTCTACATCTGATAGTCAAACCTTGGTAATCTGGACAGTACTGATGTCACATGTCTCTCTACATCTGATAGTCAGACCTTGGTAATCTGGACAGTACTGATGTCATATGTCTCTCTACATCTGATGGTCAAACCTTGGTAATCTGGACAGTACTGATGTCATATGTCTCTCTACATCTGATAGTCAAACCTTGGTAATCTGGACTGTACTGACGTCATATGTCTCTCTACATCTGATAGTCAAACCCTGGTAATCTGGACTGTACTGACGTCATATGTCTCTCTACATCTGATAGTCAAACCTTGGTAATCTGGACAGTACTGATGTCACATGTCTCTCTACATCTGATAGTCAAACCCTGGTAATCTGGACAGTACTGATGTCACATGTCTCTCTACACTTTATAGTCAGATCTTGGTAATCTGGACAGTACTGATGTCATATGTCTCTCTACATCTGATAGTCAAACCTTGGTAATCTGGACAGTACTGATGTCATATGTCTCTCTACATCTGATAGTCAAACCCCGGTAATCTGGACAGTACTGATGTCACATGTCTCTCTATATCTGATAGTCAGACCTTGGTAATCTGGACAGTACTGATGTCATATGTCTCTCTACATCTGATAGTCAAACCTTGGTAATCTGGACAGTACTGATGTCACATGTCTCTCTACATCTGATAGTCAAACCTTGGTAATCTGGACTGTACTGATGTCATATGTCTCTCTACATCTGATACAGTCAAACCTTGGTAATCTGGACAGTACATATGTCACATGTCTCTCTACATCTGATAGTCAAACCTTGGTAATCTGGACAGTACATATGTCACATGTCTCTCTACATCTGATAGTCAAACCTTGGTAATCTGGACAGTACTGATGTCACATGTCTCTCTACATCTGATAGTCAAACCTTGGTAATCTGGACAGTACTGATATCATATGTCTCTCTACATCTGATAATCAAACCTTGGTAATCTGGACAGTACTGATGTCATATGTCTCTCTACATCTGATACAGTCAAACCTTGGTAATCTGGACAGTACTGATGTCACATGTCTCTCTACATCTGACAGTCAGACCTTGGTAATCTGGACAGTACTGATGTCACATGTCTCTCTACATCTGATAGTCAAACCTTGGTAATCTGGACAGTACTGATGTCACATGTCTCTCTACATCTGATAGTCAGACCTTGGTAATCTGGACAGTACTGACGTCATATGTCTCTCTACATCTGATAATCAAACCTTGGTAATCTGGACAGTACTGACGTCATATGTCTCTCTACATCTGATAGTCAAACCTTGGTAATCTGGACAGTACTGATGTCATATGTCTCTCTACATCCGATAGTCAAACCTTGGTAATCTGGACAGTACTGATGTCATATGTCTCTCTACATCTGATGGTCAAACCTTGGTAATCTGGACAGTACTGATGTCACATGTCTCTCTACATCTGATAGTCAAACCTTGGTAATCTGGACGGTACTGATGTCATATGTCTCTCTACATCTGATAATCAAACCTTGGTAATCTGGACAGTACTGATGTCACATGTCTCTCTACATCTGATAATCAAACCTTGGTAATCTGGACAGTACATATGTCACATGTCTCTCTACATCTGATAGTCAAACCTTGGTAATCTGGACTGTACTGATGTCATATGTCTCTCTACATCTGATAGTCAAACCTTGGTAATCTGGACTGTACTGATGTCATATGTCTCTCTACATCTGATAGTCAAACCCTGGTAATCTAGACAGTACTGATGTTATATGTCTACATCCGATACAGTCAAACCCTAGTAATCTGGACAGCCAGCTCGGGAGATCACAGCAGATCCTGACAAGGCTAACGGAGACCACTCTGACCAACATGTTGTAGCATCATGAACCACTGGGACCCGAGTGCCCAATAATCACACGAGAACAAGAATCCTTACTGTGTTCAACTTTCATGACATCAGTACCGACTGCATGGTGAGCGTCTGCAGCCAACACGGCGTAGTCACCATGGTGGGCGACGTTGAAACTTCCATGGAAATCCTCCCCCGAGCCTGCTGTTTCCAAGAACGGCTTCCCCTTGTCTGTTCTCCGGAGTCGGATGTCGATGAAGTCTCTTCCTGTCATGTCTGCCAATACCCTCCGAATCAACAGCCGTCCAATCTGAACACAAACAACCCAGACAGATCTAGATTCCTATACCGCGAACCCAAATATTTTATAATCAGGTCATGATCGGGTGTTTGTGACATTTTAGGAAATGTTCCCTCTTCTTGTTCCAATAAATAATAGGGATGACCTGGTGACATCAGTAGCTACAGAGTGAGTGAGTGAGGTGGGTTTAACAGTTTTGAACAGTATTTCAGGTGAAATGGGGTTTTAACTTTGCACATTTATTGCAGTGATGCAGATGTTTTCATGACCCCAATGAGGATGTCCGGTGCCAATCACACTTCGGGGATGAGTAGGGGGCACGCTGTGCAGAGTTGCATCTCTAGGGCACGCCAGAAACCTATGATTGTGGGTTCAAATCCTGATTATGTTTCAAGGTTTGTCAGCACCATACCCGTGCTCGTGGGTTTCACTGAAGTGGTAAACGTCTGAGACCTGCATCACTTTGGGCTTTCCTCCCACATTAAGCTGACACGCCGCGATATAACTGGAATACTGTTAAAAGCGGCGTTAAACCAAACTCACTCAGGGATAACTAAGGGAGGCAACTCTGCATGGGAAACTGCAGGGCCTATGAGGACTCGGACATCCATACTCCATGTCATGTCAACCAATGTCTTCCACTTCACCCAGGGCCTGCTCCGGAAACAAGCACTACCCTCATTTTCAGTAAAGTCCAAGTTATCATAAAAACTTAAAAAAAGAGAAATAACCAAAATCATCAAAATGCACCAGTTACCCACTACACTGATCTATATAGGAAGTTTTAACAAGAAATATTTAACAGTTTTGGAGTGCTGCTCCAGAAACGGAAAAGTGAAGGATGACTGATGGATGAACACTATGTCCCCGTTTGAAAAAACGGGGGGATAAAAATGTATGAGGATTGCGAAAAACATAATGCGATAAAACAAACGTATAAGACACAGAGCGGGTGGAAAGCAGCTGTTGCAAACTCACACTGTCACTGATAATAATTCCCGACTGCAATGATGTGCACACTGTTCTAGTGATTACATTTCCCACCTGATGCTATCAAATATAGACAGGACTGTTTGACAGTAGTGTGTACATAACATTTCATCACAATGTCTCATCCCTGGGGTCGACTGTACGGAACAAAACACATGCTGGAACAACTCCTCACCATCGACGGCTTGCTATCTTTCTTAAAGACAAATTTCCCGATCCTCTCCTTCTCCTCCTTCTGAACACACTGCGCCGCCAGCGTCCACTCCCCCTCCGTCGGCTTCCACGCCCTGGAGTTGACAGCAAGCCGGATCACACGGCGTGACGTCATTGTGCCAGACCTAAAACAGGGTGACATGTGATACCATTACTCTTGTGTGCTTAACGAAACAACTTAATGACAAGTTTCAGGTTATTACAGCACATCAAAAATAGCACAACATCAAAACAGCCCAATATCAAAACAGCACCAAAATTGCCTGGCTAAGACCGAAGTGGCTAAAACGGCACCTGATCATTTTGGTGCAAATGGCACCCTTAGTGTTTATGGAATATATATGCAAAACTACGCAATCCATTTATTCACTTCTTGCAGCAAGCATAGGTTGCTGGGAAGCCATATTGTTACCTGGAATCCCCATGGGGTGCACGTGTTTAAGCATAGATGTCTCTATCTTCATTATCATTCATAAACAAAAGCATACTTGAACTCAAGAATATGACATACATACCTAATGTAAATTGTTACTGACTTAAAATAGTGTAACAATAGTATGCTAATGTGATGCTGTTTTTGCCAGGTAACACAATGTTGTTTTCACTGAGCCAGGTGCTGTTTACTCGAGGGGCAGATGAAAGGCTCTGAGCCTAACCACAAAGAATGTATAGTGCACGCTTAACAGTGTGTATGGAATAAGTACAAACATGATTGTGCTTACAAGCTGCATTGGTACCAAACACACAACCAGGCAGCGTGTTTCTGCAGGCATCACAGTGACTAGGTATTCTCTGTTGATATAAATGGACAAATCTGGCCATAGGGGCTGTGTCGCGTTCATCAAGTATCTCCAACTAGAAGGTCTAACTCCAACAAGCCATCTATGTGGAGAATACAGGAGATATGGTGTCAGCTTTAGGGTGATGCTCATTCCTTGGCCAAGCAGCAGAACTCAATAGGAGAAGAGGGCTTGGAAGATGATTCAAGATGGAGAAGACACACATGATAAAATACATGATATAATTATGGATGATTGACGACTCAACACATTTTCACATTGCCAATACAGTAGGCACTCATGAGGGAGGTGAGAACATTCTGTGGATCGAGCTGGGCATGACAAAGGTTTCGGTATGCTGGGTTCCAAGACTTCTGACTCCTGATCAAAAACACACCGGGTTTGTCATCTTGTGAGAATTTATGTTATTTTGAAGCTGATCCAGCTCATTTGGTTTAGTGATTATGCTCATATGCTAAGATCCATCTGCTTGGACTGGTACTCTAACCATAGCTTATGAGACATCACATTTGAAACATTATAAAATGCAGTCAGATGTCCACACAGTGACAAAATAAAACAAGACAACATTTAAGACATATATTAGTCAAATTTGACTGTTTTACATTGGGGGAAAAGACCTCAAGCTGCAGAGGGTTTATTATTGTTCTTATTCAATCCCAAAAATTTGTCCAGATCCAGACTCCAGCACAGTGGTGACTTAGCAGAACACCAATGTCACAGGCTAATTTGCATATCAAGTGACTGGACTTTCTCTTGTTTGTCAACAAACACGCTTGTTCTGAAATCAGAACAGACAGGCCTAATGCAAAGCTTTCAGTGCAACTTACATTTTGTTTTGCATAATTATATAGATATGCTACTGACAATATATCTTTATCCCTCAAAGTGGCTGTATCACTAGCTCTAGGGCTTTGATGACTGCACACTGAGCCGTACAACCATTATAAAATAACGGTAACTATGAAAATGGAAATAGTTTTTCACATTTTCAGATATTTAATCAAAGTTAATCATCTCTATGACAATGTTTATCTAACTGTGTAAACTCGTCAAAAACGAAACAGCTGAAGCACATATGCAATATCTTGAATAGACTGTGTAAGATGTGGCGAATCTTCGCATGGTGCCGGCCTGTGGCAGAGGTACTATGCTGCTGCATGACACTCTGGGTAGTAAAGTTGACCAGACCTCTGATGGTTAATTCTGACTCGATCACTGATAGACAAGAGTGTTTGTTTGCAAACACTGAAAGTAGTCCCTACGTGACCTTTAATATTGGGATATGTTATTGTATATTACCCCAACAGATACCAATATCTTGCCTAAAAACCTACACAGCAAAATTACCCCTATTTAGTCCCAATATTCCCGGTCTCCCATTCTTCGTACAAGCACACTGACAAGAGCGACAAAAAAAATAAAATGTTATCACTCGAGTACAGTGTCAGTATCGTGTATGTAGGCATGGTTCTTGTCGTCAAAGGCTCTTTGCACAAATTCAGCGGAGCGCCGGCACGCGACGAGACAATATATGTCTAGCGTCTGTGAAGACAGTCCAGTGTTTGTTTATATAACAGAAAATATTCTCATGCATCATCATCAATCAATGCCAGACGCTGCATCTCTCTCTCTATTTCTGGTGGAATACATGCCACGAATTCTCCTGCAATGATTCAGATTCATGGCGAACTAGGGTTTGGGGACGATCCTACTCCTAAACACGACAACACCGAGTTTGTAAGACAATATTGAGATTACTCGCAGTTAGAAGCATTGTTATGAAATGACATGAGTTACAGAGCTTGGTGGGTTAGACAGGTTGTTCCCTATTTACAATTCAAGTTGCGTCTTTATCTTACATGTGGACATTCGTACTGGAAACTCATCTAATTCAGACTCCGACTGACTCTCATCCCACGATCATCCTCTTTCGATGCCATTTTCCCGGAAGTAATATATTAACCAATCGTTTTCCCCCGTTGACTTCTCCTCCTCACAGTGTCAGACAACACAGGCACTGTTCTAAGTTCCTACATGCAAGATAATCTGTGACAGTAGGATTTAATACAGGCTCCATTTGGAAATACAGCACAGTATTGATATTCATAACAAAGTCCGGTCGTTAAAAGGAATGTGATACAATTACGTAATTCGTAACACTTTTCACATGCTAAAGAATACTAAGCTTTTTAATTTTCCAAGTGATTTGTCTGTTGAGTAATGATAATTTGAAATAGTTTGAACAATGTGGAACAAAATAAATTTACTGTCATTCCAAAAAAATAATTAACCTTGTGATCATGTTGTTTTGTTTCTGAAAAAAAGTGAAACGTGATTTCATGAGTCACGGAACTTCTTATAGACGTTGTTGTATAATATACGTGATTGGCTATAAAACATATCATACGGCGCTCGTCACACCATGAGCTCATTTTACTGAAATCCATATTTGCATTTCACAGAGGCCGCCACTAATACAACGTACCATCGCCAAACCAGAGAACGATGTCATCTGTCCTGCTGCAGCAGCCGGCTCCCCCTCCTGCTGCGGTAAACCGTCCCCCGTACGCATCCCGTATCTTTGTTTCGCCGCTATCATAATTATATGAACCTTTAAAAATATCGCTGACTACAAACCGCTGTGCTATTGGTATATACAGTTAGTACTAACTAGTAACTACAGCATAAAATATCATCTTTATAGCTTTATTTATTTATTTATTTATTTTTAAAAATACTTAAAATGTCATCGAGAAGCCCGATTAAGATTATTATATAGAAAAAAAGAACACCTCTGAAGTTGACAATAGAAGAGCGCAGACAGTTATGAACAGTTGTCCTGAAAATATGTTAAGTATTTAGTACAAGCACATGTTTAACAAGTGGCTAATGACGTGGTACAACTGAATGCTTCTATGTATCAAAGTATATCTACACTGAGTTATATATGTGCATGTTTAGTTGAATCATTTTAGTGTACACATATGAAAGCATATAAGCCAATGCCCCTTTTTAAAGGCCGTGCATCCTCCCGCCTCTCCGCCTCTCCACAACCGCAAGACAGAATGTCGCCTTCTCAGACTAACTCAATTACGTTGGTTAATTTCCCCTAGGCCCGAGTCTACCGCAGTTGTGTATAACAAAGATTGAATTAAATGAAAACTGTACAAATATCCGCACTACATATAATCGCCATAAATTCGTTGTATATAAAACACAGCTATTTATAGACAGCGTGGAGTCGAGGAGCACGCCAAATATTCAGGCGATATGGGAGATAGGACGTCCGAATATGACCGGAATCACGTACAGCGACAAAACGGTCGGACACAAGCATGTATTGATATAATTTGAAATTGTGCTTTAAACGAGTAGCGGCACGGTGAGTAGTGAGTATTATTATTATTAGTGAGTGAGTGAGTGAGTTGGGTTTAACGCCGCTTTTAACAGTATTCCAGTTATGTCACGGCGTGTCAGCTTAATGTGGAAGGAAAGCCCGAAGTGATGCAGGTCTCAGACGTTTAAAACTTCGGTGAAACCTACGAGCATGGGTATGGTGCTGACAAACCTAACATGATCGGGGCGAACCGGGATTCGAACCCACAATCATAGGTTTTTGGCGTGTCCAAGGGACGCAACTCTGCACAGCGAATCGCGGCACTTTAGACGACTGGGCCCCCCGTGCCCCCTATTATTATTAGTAGTAGTAGTAGCAGTTGTTGTAGATGTGTTCGGTAGTTCTCGGATAATTATAGTGGGCGCTCTCTACAACAGACAAGTTCGATCGTAGTAGCACATTTGTCAGTTGCTGGTGATTTGTCAGTAGTAGCAGCAGCATCCGTAGCAGTTATAGTAGCAGCGCTGACTGTAGTAGTAGTGCTAGTAGTAGTAGTAGTAGTAGTAGTAGTAGTAGTAGTAGTAGTAGTAGCAGCGGCAGTCGTAGTAATAGTAGATGCAGTAGCAGTAATAACAGTAGTAGTAGTCGTAGCAGCAGCAGTAGTAGTAGTGCTAGTAGTAGTAGTAGTCGTAGCAGTAGTAGTGGTAGCAGCAGCAGTAGTAGTAGCAGCAGCGGTAGTAGTGAAGACTGCCCCCAGTTGTAGCAGTTACAGCCGTTAGAACTTGTAGTTGTAGCAACAGCAGCAGTAGTTGTAGCCGTACAATGCTACGTGTACATCGACTGCGACTTCTACCACGGCTACTCATGACTCGCTGACTGTTCCTGGAGGAGCTGACACTATCACCGCCAGAATGTGCCGTTACATTGTAGCTGATGAATTCTTGCCTGTATAGGACGGTACCACATTTTCAATGATATCAGAAGCATGACTCGTTTTCTCCGCATCCAACTGACAAGTCTTTGGCAATCTTTAACGAGGGCTACACAACCCAAATTACTCCGGGTTTAACTATCATTAGCAACTCTCATAAACTCCCGCCCTCTCTCGTCGTTGTTTACGTGATCCGATCTTGGTGTATTTATGATAAATATCTGTTTTTGTTCCAGTGCTGGGAGTGTGGGGAGGGGGAGGATCAAAGAGGGGAACCTATCCCCCTGAACGCCGAATGACCAGCGTGATATCAGCCTCCCCATCTTCCTGATTAGCCCCACAGAGAGTGTTTACATGGCCCATCATAATCCCCATCTCGCCTTCCATCTGGGCTTTCATGTGAAGATGGCCGACTGATGGCCCGATAGCCGCCACGCCACACACCCGAGGTTCACATTTACTATCAAATGTAAATACATTAATACATCACACATGAGTGCCCGAGCTGACACGCGTCTATAATTGAAAAGCAAATAATGGACCTACATCATACAAAGAGTACATCTTATAAAGGCGATATCATCATGTTATAGTGAGTGAGTGAGTATGGTTTTAAGCCGCTTTTAGCAATATTCCAGAAATATCACGGCGGGGGACACCAGAAATGGGCTTCACACATTGTACCCATGTCGGGAATCGAACCCGGGTCTTCGGCGTGACGAGCGAACGCTTTAACCACTAGGCTACCCGACCGCCCCTCATCATGTTATAATATGCACAGGACGAATATGGTCATTCCCCTTCATGAGTGAGTGAGTGAGTTGGTTCTATTCCAGCCATTCCATGAAGGGGACACCAAGAATGAACTTCACAAACTGTCCGGCAAAATAAAGTATACACTTGAAAATTACATTCAACCAAAAAAATTACAAACGTTATCGAAACGTTAAGTACCAGGCTGAAAGCATTTGTGACGGGAAACATAAGGTCCAAAAAACAACTTTGTTACCCGTATATAAATATACTCAACAACAAAAGTTCCTGTGACAGCAATATTTTAGTGTTTTTTTGCAAACAAGTACAGTTTGGTTTTCAGTATTGTAGTACATGTATGGAATCAAGTCACAAAAACGCAACTGCTACAGAAAAGTATGCATTCCTTGCAAAAGTTGACTTTTATACAAGCCCCATGCATTTCACTACCCAAGAATGGGTATAAACATGTGCATTAACGGGATTCCATATGCATTGTTTAGCATCGTGCTGACAACAACCACTCAGAAAAACAACAAAATTACGCAATTATTCAACATTACGAAATGCCACGCCTGTCCGAAAATGAGCATCTGCGAGCCATTGGTATGCTTGAAGCAGGATCGAGTCAACGTGATGTTGCAAGACAATTTAACATCCTCAGAAACACCATTTGGAGTTTATGGCAACGTTGGCAACAGACGAATGCAGTCAGACCATCCTCGGAGTGGCAGGCCACGCGTAAACAATAATCGACAAGACAACTGGATTCGAACAACACACCTACGAAATCGATTCCAGCCAGCAACAGTGACCGCAAGAAGCGTCCCTGGCCTTTGACGAATATCTTCACAAACCGTGCGTCGTCGCCTCAGTCGTGCAGGGATTGTCTCCAGAAGACGCGCCAGACGTCCCATTTTGACAGGAAACCACCGTATAGCACGTATACAGTGATGCAGACAGCGTCTACGCTGGACGGCCATGCAGTGGGGACAAGTTCTATTAACTGACGAGTCTCGTTTTCACCTCAGCCACAGCGATGGACAGATTCGAGTGTACCGACGTCGAGGTGAACGTTACATCAAATATTGTGTCATGGAAGAAGATCGGTTTGGGGGGCGGCAGCGTTATGGTATGGAAAGGTATTACAGCGAGACAAGAGGACCCGTTTGATAGTGGTAGAGGGAAATCTCAATGGACAGCGCTACCGCGACGAGATCATCGGCCCTGTTGTTCTACCGTTTTAGCGTCGTCATGGCCCAGGCATTACCTTTCAACATGAGAACGCCCGGCCTCATATTGCTCGACTTGTTCAGGATTCCCTTCAACAAAACAACATGAATGTCATCCCCTGGCCGGCTCGCTCCCCTGATCTCTCACCATTCGAGAACATGGGATGAGACGGATCGGCGCCTTCGACGTCAACCACGTGTTCCACAGACACTCCAGGAACTTCGAAACATGCTCCAGCAGATATGGACAGATATCCCACAGGACTTTGTGCGACGCCTGGTCCATTCCATGAGTGAGTGAGTGAGTATGGTTTTACGCCGCTTTTAGCAATATTCCAGCAATATCACGGCGGGGGACACCAGAAATGGGCTTCACACATTGTACCCATGTCGGGAATCGAACCCGGGTCTTCGGCATGACGAGCGAACGCTTTAACCACTAGGCTACCCGACCGCCCCCCATTCCATGAGACGAAGATGTGTTGCTTGCATCGCAACCAGAGGTGGACACACACGCTATTGATTTGTAAATTGACATTTTTTATGAAATCACGTATTTTCTGAAGTCAGTTTGGCAAATTAAATCATTTGTACACTTACAGGAGTCTTTTATCTGTTGCAAACCGAAATTGTTTCAGAATTGGTAAAAAACATAACTTTGCATTAAATCTTTTTCAATGCCACAGGAACTTTTGT